AATATTTTTCCTAGCAATTAACTTGAAATGAATGCAGTCTACTTCTTTCTTGTTAATTTAAAAACAGACAGACTTTTTACTAACACTGTATACACAGAACACATTTATTCTCAGGGCATGACTGGGCCAAACAGAAAGTTTTTGAGAGTGGAGTGGCTGTGAGTTATTTCCTGCGGAAACTAGCAAAGAACGATAGCTAAATGAAAAATACAGGTATTGTTTCATCTCAAGCATCTTAATATTGACCTGTTTACTTTTTTCTTGTATTTTCTCTTCAATTTAATCTGCTCATTATTAAATATTTATCAATTCAATTGTTGTTCTTAATCAGAAAATTATATATGTGTGGATTTTCTTACAATTTTGGATATGAGATATGATATACAAAACAGGCTGATCTGGTATAAAGATCTAACAAATAAGCTGTTCTAAAAAATAAGATAAATAAGTAAAGAAAGGTCTTACCCAAAGTATTCAGCTTTATATTTTGAAATAATATAGCATTCTCTCTATGAAGTACTTTTGGAAAACAAGGGCCAGGATGGTATACAGTACAATATCTAGCCAAACAAGTAAACATCCAGAAAATAAAGTCTTGGAGGCAGATCAGAAAGTTAATGAATGCAAGAGCACTAACCTGGAATTTTTGTTTTCCATGAACTGCAAGGCCAAGAGGAAGGCAAAAATCTGTAGTAACATGTCAAAGGGCATCTGGAAGGAGCTGATCCAGCAGATCAAGAGTCTTCAATCACTGGACTGAGCTGAGGCAAAAGATTACAAGATTTAGATCAGAATCAGCCACTAATCCATATAGGAAAATGAAATAATTCAACTCAAATGCAGATATCCCCCCTTTCAGCTTCAGTAATCCAAGGGGAAAGCAGGAGAGTCCACATCGTGTTGCATGTTCCATATTGTAACCCACAGTAAAAAACAACCCAAAACTTTCTATCAAATCAATGCTCCTCCTATTTCTTCCTTTTAAAGTAACATCTTGTAAAAATATGCTTTCTGTGACAGCTTGAGACAGATCTATACTTAATATTTTCATGGAAATGCCATGCTTTTTAAAACACTATTAAAAGCAGTATATGACTAGTATTTAAAAATAAAGTAACTCAGAGGCTGTTTAGCTATGAAGAACAGCTTAAGCTCTCTTAAGTCTGCTTGAAAAGATTACACAATTTCAGCTGCCTGCAAGTCTGTGGTTACGTACATTATAACATCTCCAAAAACATGTTAGCAACAGAATTGTTTTGCAGACATGTTATCCTCTGCTGGAAGAGCAGAGAGGCTGTGTCCCACGTTCCTCAGTCAGTGACTCTGCCATTATAACATTTTTTTCTGTTACGGCAACGTTAGTAGACTATAGCCTAAAAAAACAGCCCTGCAAGCGTATTTTCAAGCATGCATAACTACTTTCATTCTTAAATTTGAACTGTGTTGAATTTGTCACATTTCAGATTTTTGGCAAAGGCTGGGTTTTTTGAGTGTGTACTATGCTCTGTGCAGAGCAGCCCTGTTCTCAGACATTTCCCTCTTAGAGTTGGAGGGCACCTTTACGTTGTCTGTACATGCACGTCCTGAGCCAGCTTCAGTCCTTTGTTTTAATTCTGTAGAGGTTGCACATTGGAACATGAAACAAACGTTAAGTGACAGGGACGCCTATACCGCCACCCGGACCCTTCCTGCAGCGTGGAGTGCTGTGGGGACCAGAGCGTGAGGGTGCTCTGGAGTCGGCTCCGCCACCCAACAAGCCCTCTCCGTTCACACCAGTACCCCAGCATGTCAAATGGGATAGCTGCACCACTGCCAATTCCTCCACCTCCTGCATGAGTCTTAACACTTGAGCCAGCGGACTCCCAAAGTCCTTATCTACAGTAGATACAATTAATGCCATTGAAAGGATGTTGCTTCACACTCTTTTCCATTAGCTGCAAGGATCTGAATGACAAAAAGGGACCACTATTCCTAGGTAAAAATCAGATTACTTATTACCACTTACTTACTTATTGCCTTACTTTCTCACGATAAGGTGATGCAGGACAGACTTTGGGGCACAGACCATGTCAAGAAGCCTATACCAAACATGCTACCTCAAGTTGTGGGGGTAGAACAGATCTGGAAGGCGCTGTGCCAACAGCAAAGAACTCTGTAGTTGGTCAGTGGGTTCATGGGGCTACAACACATGCAAGAATGAGCTGTTGCTAGGCTTGTTCTTCACTATATGAACACGCCTGTCTAGGTTGGCACTAGTGCAGAGTATTTTATACTGTGTTCCTTTTGAAGGGTAGTGGCCCATCACTAATACCAGATGGCTTCTAGGTGCTGTAGAGGAACCCAAGTATAGTAAAGGAGATGAATAGTACTGACAGCACAAGATATTCAGTATAATCAAAATTAAAACTGCAAATAGTTGCAGAAATTGCAGTACTAAGTGTCTAGGTGCTAAACAATGTATGAAATCCAGCGGTAACTAGTCACATGTTTTTATTTGCCTCATGTATACGCAAAAAGGCTCTCAATGAGTTACGACAAGTCAGAGAAGAGCTCTTACTGTCAGCAAGGACAGTGTTCTGGAACTTCCTAGGAGTGAACAGATGAAAAAGCTCTTAGGAATTGATAATGAAGAAGTGAGGAGTGCAGAAAACACAGTTGTGTATCGGAAGAAGAGGAGGACATCAGTAACCTTTTCAAACAACAGTCTTCTGTAGCACATCAACCAGTGTCCTCATGGACCAGGGTACCATCTCTCACAGGCACAGGGCATGACTGTAGCAAACTTGTCAGATGTGGACTTCCTGACTACCAAGCTAGATATAAACTGTGTGACCGCCCTGGCCCTAGACTTGCTGCCATGGTCAGAAGTTGGTGCTAAGCGCTCCAGCTGCAGAGAAATTCTGTTCCTCTTTCACACTACTGGAATTAAGGAACAGAATCATCAGGGGCAGACTTTTACTTATTAACTCGCATGTCTAATAATCACCTCCACAAACTGCCCCCCCCAGCCCCGCATGGCTCAAACACACAGCTTCCATCTCCCTATCCCCGTGGCTACTCCAAAGATTTCTCCTTATCTACTCATCTTTCAAGTCCTGAGTCTGGCTCTCTTCCCTTCCATTTCATGCTTGATGAAATTGATGAAATTTGTACATGCCTAGCCTGTTGGAGAGGGCAGGTTTATGCATGCTGCTTCCTCATGACAGGAAGGTTCAGGGTCCAAAGAATGGAGCAAGAGATAGGACACAGAAATCTTATACTAACTGCTCTAAGAGTTTCTTCAGGGTTTCCTTGGAACACTGGGTTTCAGGTAGATCACAATACTCACAGCCTTACAGGTGTACATTCATTCAGCATTGAGCACAGAAGTATTTCTTCTGCAGCTGTGCCACCTCCAGGTGATGGTGCATTGAGAGGGGCGGCCCACAGTGATTGCAACAGCCGTGGCAGCATCGTTCCAGGACCCAGTGTAGTTTGTGCAACTGGTGAAGCTAGCCATGGCCTCTGTGAAGCTTCCTGCTGGTATCACTGTGGAGCTGGGGAATCCACATCAGGCAAAGACTAGCAGAAAATTGCCAACACAGACTACTTGCAGGTAGATGACGTGGCTGACCACAAGCCACTCCCCTGATGACAGGTCACAGGCAGAAGTGGAGATACTCCAGAGAGCAGCATCAGCAGGGTACCCTGGAAGACCACGTGCACGCCTTGTCTGCAGGCTCCATCTGCCTGCAGACAGCATTGAAAGCTAGCAGCCTTGTGCATGTAGAAGCTCTGCACTTGTTGCTGTTCATTTCAGGAGTACTACGTGGTCCTACCAGTTGGTCCTTATCTTTTATAACCAACTTTTCCTTTCCGTATGATGAGACTGGAGGGTGGCAATTAACATAATTGCTTTGGTGGCCCCTGGAGCGGCTTTGGGATCCTTCCCATACATTCCCCAGGGTTCTTCCCATTGCATGACACCTCTGGAGAGCGGTGGCCCATAGGGCCCCGACACAACCACAGCAGCAGGCACACAGGCAGGCACAGCATGTGCCAAAGGCAAGTAAGTGAAAAGATGCAGCAGCAGCATCACCAAGACTCAACAGCATGAATCACAATTCTGAACAGAGACCGCCAACCTGCATGCAATGGCAATTGCTGCCTTTGTTATAAACCCTGCTGACATAATCGTGTCCTGTGCGCAGTGTGTACAGCTGGGAAGCATGGCACCTGTGCTATGGCAATGTTCTGCAAGGCTAAGTAGGTACAAAGGTAAATCCACTACAGGAGGCATCCACTCGTTTTTCAGGAGGAATTGGAAGGAGGTATAGACTCTTCAGGCATATAGGTATGCGAGACATTAGATGTCACTTTTTTTTTCTCCCTCTAAACATAGCAGGACCACCTTTACCTTCTTAGGCATAATTTAAAATAAAAAGAAAAAAACCAACCAAAGTACTACAAGAACAAGGAATCATCTTTTAAAAAATACCCATAAAGAAGCTTCTGTTTTTCCAGTTACCACAATTCAGGAAAACTCTTAATACGTGGCTAATTTTAGATATATACCTAAGAAATAGGATTTTGCAAAACTATAGTTTGACTATAGGTATTTATAAATTTACTAAATCCTTTACTAGAAGGATTGCTTGGAGAGAAACTAAGTGATACTCCATTATGCAGTAAATAATGAAGGAAAATGTACATACTTCTAGGTATACTTAAGTTTCCTAATTGTTTCTTTTTTCCCCTCTTCAAAGAATTCCTTACTGGAGACGCTACATTCTCCTTCTGGAAAGGAGACTAGAGTAGCATATGTTTGAAAACAAATACAAAACTCAAAATGTTCATTTCAATGGTAAGTTGGGTAAGAAAGAAGAAATTGCAAGATCTACACTACAATCCGCCAATACTTGGCCTGGTTTTCACTTCTAAGCCCTGTCAAAGTTTCCTTCTTTCACCTGAGACGTATGAAAGGCAGAAACATGTTACAGACCACCAAGCAAAGCGGTACGCAATTTTTTAAAGTTTATTTTCTGTAGTGTTCTGTGTTGCCAAAAGGGAAATTTCAGGAGGCTTTTCTTATTAATCTAACCATGAAACCCTCTTACCAGCATATATATTTAATAAGATCCATCAATGTAGTTTAAGAAAGTCAAGGAAATCTGAATCAGCATCTCAGGAAACAAGACTGAGACGCAGGAATAAAATAGCTCAAAGAAGAAAGGAAAACAATTAGAGAACAGAGAATACAAAGAACACTAGCATGTAGTTGACACTTGATGTAACAACATTCGTTGCTTTTTCCTCATTCCTGTTCCTATAGCCTTAATTATTTAGTAACATTTCAGATTCACGAAATCTCTGCATGAAACAAATCTTTCTTCAGGCACACTAGTTATTGATAATAGACACACATGGCTTGGAATGTGATTTGTAATGAAATGCACAGGTCTGGAATCACACTCCTACTGGCAAGGTTGGCACCAGAGCCTCAGAGCCTGTCCCTGCTGGTCATCGTCAAGCCTGCTTTACCAAAAACACACCCGTTCTTTACCCTACTGCCCTGTTCTCAGCTAACTATGCTCCAGTTAGAATTTTACAATCTTCAAGCGTTAAAAGGGAGATGAAAACAAAGAAGCAGGATAAAATAGAAATTTCCAGTTTACGGCAAGAACTTACTTTAAAAAAATCTACAAAAAGCCCTTCTAACCATTAAATTATATATCACATTATTGTAATTCAGTTCACAAAATAAGTTATGACAGATACTGAAAAAAGTCTAAGGTAAACTGTTGGTAACCAGTATTGCACATACTGAACCTTGAATCTTATTGAAATGGGGCAGATCAACAACTCCATTGGTTTCCAAACAGCCATCATTTGGTACTTCTCATTTATCTGCTCCTTTTCATAAGACAGTTTAAGCAGATATCAGCTTTCCTGTACTAGAACTCGGAATTTTCTCAAATTTTAGCTAATGCTAATAGAATTTGTAATTACTTATTAGTGCCTTTAAAACGGAAATCATTTTTAAGTGCTGTGTTCCAGCAAATTAAAGAGTAATTTTTTTTACAGTGCTTAAAGCTACTCAAGTCAAATCATGAAAGCTTTCTGAAACGAGCAAAAACCCCACATATCTTTTAGTCTCAGGTGGCCCCATTTATGCCTCTACGTTTTAGCAACATCCTTGAGATGGAAAGGGATGGTACTGACTGTTGTCCAGAGAAGGTTATGTCAGTCAGGACATTACCTCTGCTGCCTCCACGGTGTCCGCCACATAAAGACCCATGCACTTTACTACTAACCGGGCATGGCAGTGCATACCTGATCTTTGTTCAGACCTAAACTGTGGCTCCTCATGTAAATACTAAAAAAAAAATTAAACTGGAAGTTTGATCTAGCAACATGAGACAAGAGGTATTTATGTCAGACCACAAAGGTAAGAGGCATTAAATCAGGGTTCCCTTGTACATTACAAGCTGTAAGTGACTCTCATCATACTTGTGAGAGGAATTTAAGATGTAACCCAGCCAGGCAAAGCTCCACCCTTTCTAACAGATCAGTTTTTAGCACAACAATGATGATCAGCACAATGTCTTTCTTGTCCCCTGGGCTCCTCCTTTGACTCAATGCTCTTCACGTGCAGTAGTCTGAAGCGCTTGCCCTAGCAACAAAATGGGAAAAACAAGACAAAACACAATAAAAACACAATAAAAATCCTGTAAAATACAACATAAGTGTCTTCCTGCTTACAGCTCTTCTCAGATATCTTGGGAGGAGTGCTCAGTATGGCTAAAAGAAGGAAATCTATTATAAACACACCATACCAGCCCATAAATAGAGCACCTAGAATTCATTCTCTATAGGAGAGACCAGATGGAGGAGAACAACCAACACCAATTGGCATTGATTTCTGTGGAAGATATGCTAAACAGGAAATACGCTTTAGTGAAAGGTTTTTTGAATGCTGTGAACTGAAAGGAAAGGCTATGTATAAACAGAAAAAAATGTAAAACATGGAATATTTAATGTTTTTTCTTTGTCATGTATAAACAAAATACTTACATGTATTGAATCAATAAGTGGCATGTGTTTGGCTTTATGGCTGCCCTCCAACTGATTAACTGGTAACTCACCAAATGCGGTCTAGATGAACCCAAAGTCATTTCTCAGACTATACGAACTCATAGTAAAGACAAAGCAGTATAGATATAAAACTACCGCAGAGAAACAAGAATCCTTTTCGTAAGAAATATTCACATGGCTTCATATAGAAACAATACATTTAAAGATGCAGTCTTAGAGAATTAGATACAATGTCTGGATAAGGTTGAAGTCCTAGCTGCTTGTTATCTTTCAACTTTTGTATTATAATTCTGGCAAATTCCTCTCCTTGACTATCTGATGTATCAAGCAGTTGTCGGACTTTTGATGTCCTTGTAGGTTTGGTACTTATAAGTTCATAGTCTTCCTTCATGAGTAAAAATCTTGATAGAAGAGCATCTAGTGACTGATTCAAACATGCTTCAGTCATCTGATCAATAATTTCTTCTCTTTTACTTTGGATCCATTGATGAGCTACATTGTGTTGTATGGTTTCCAAAACAAAATCTGAGGTTGGGGAGGATTTAAAAGAAAAATTAATTAGTATTGCAACCATCTGTCGATTAATAGTGATGTAAAACGAAAAAAATGAGCTCTTTAAAAATTGCTTTTTGATGAGAAATACCCAGCCTGGTAGTAAAAAGAGACAAGGTGGTAACTTCCGTAAAAATCCCGCTGGAAAAAGTTTACTGAAAGTGTATCTATAGTTTTCTCTATACCCTCTTAAAGCAGAGCACTCATAGAGTGAAACAGTGCAAGACCCTCATTTTGGTAGGAGCTCCCCACCACAGTAGGGACCTGCATCTGGTTCAAGATTGTGTGCAGATACTCCTCTAGATGACTAAAAAAAAAAAAAGCTTTGTTCTTTCTCTTGACATTTTTTACTTGTTGCTGCTAGTCTACTCTTTCTAAAAGTATTTTTAAGTGAATGCCTTTCTGAGCAATCGCTCACAGTCTCAGTCAAGGTATTTTCCAAATTCTCAAATACCCACATCAATGTTAATTACTTTTAGTGCTAATATGGATGAGGACCCCAAGATGACAAGTGTTCCACACACATTGTGTGTGTACCTCTCACATCCCCTTTTCCTGTGCTGTAGTTGTACAGAAAAAGGGAACTTGTTTAATGGAACAAAGCATACACCACTTCTTATAAAATCAAGTTCTAGACTCCATTGAGGCTAGTTTAAATGGGACAATTTAGATCATGACAGACATCTAAAAATATGAAGCATTTAAGACTGAACCTTAGAATCATTGAATGGCTTGAGGTGAGAATGAAAAGAGTTCGTTTAGAGTGCTCCAAAAAAAAAAAAAAAGAAAAATCACTGAATAAGGTTAACATGCATTAAAGTTTCTTTTTGTTTTCATTCTTTTGGGAACACATTTTTAATGACTATTTGATACATAGAAAAAATATCCAGTGATTCCTAACTAATACCCAACCATTAGAGATGAGATGCTGAGCACAGCTGCTGCTTCTCTTTGCCCCATCTTTACTAAGAGGCAAGTGACAAGTCCATAGAGTGGGGATAAGCGAGAGCTCTCACTACCTCTAGAAAACTTCCTTTCCCAATTCACTGGATTGTAGTGCTCCTAAAGCAGTAGGAGAAAGGGGAAATGATATTGGTAAAGGGAATGGGAGAAAGGAGAGCCAAAGCAGCAGTATTAGGGTTGCTTGAAAGAAAAGGATAAAGTTAGGAACTATAGGTGTACATGTACTTACATCAAATTGTACATCAGTTTTACTCACTTTAGAATATAAAGCTGCAAGGACATAATTATGAGCATTCTTTACTTGAAGCATACTTTGTTTTTATGCTACAGATGAACAACAGTTCTAGTTTCTATTTCATACACGCATATATTCAATCATAAGACACTAACTATGGGCCTGGGAATTATATCAATATTTGCTATACCTGAAGGAATTGGTGATGACCGCAGATTTGAGGCACTTGAAATACTCTTGTCAGATGAGGCAGAAGAACTGTATGGATGCACAAGTAGTTTAGCACTCTGGGTAACAGAGAAATTTTCATCCATGCTCTGACTGCTGCTGGAGTGTAGATCTCCCGAATTTCCATCTTAAAAGAAAGAGCTTTACTACTTCTGTGTTCAAATAGAATACAGCCATCAGAGACTGTTTAGAACAATTACATAAAACAAAATACACACAACTTAAGTTCTCTTCAAACATCAACACGTTATTCCTTGCAGTTAGGTTCTCAGTATATTTATGTCCATTGTGTTCTATCAGGGTTTGAGTGTTTGTAATTTTTTGTGTTTTGTTTTCTTTTAAAAACAACATTGGTAGAAAAAACATATCTGGTAGATGTGAACTTTAAAAAGCTCTGCTCAGCACAAAATTTTGTAGGGATTGGAAGACCAAAAATGATTTTTCAAAATGTTTGGAGAGGTAGCTAGGAGTTAGTGTGAAAGCTGACTAATTTTGATGATTTTGACAGTACAACAAAAGTTAAAAGAAAGACTGAAGTAGAGGGAAAGAACATGAAGACTAACAGTGACATTCAGTGGGAGGCCAATGGAAGCTTTTGGCAGTCTGTCAAGATAGCATATAACTTCAAGAAAGCTTCATGTGAACTTTTACAAAGAAAGAAAACAAGGGAATTTTATTAGGTAGGAAGTTTAATTGTTTCTTTTTTTAGGATCAACTAGAATAAAAATGTGACAGTAGATAGGAAGCAGCAATAGGGATGACTCAGGAAGGGATGACAAGTAGCCAATCACACACAAAGTACATGGCATATGCCTAATTCTGTATGCGGTTCTCATTACAGACTCTCATGGTTTCACTTGATAAAGAGCTTCAGAGAAATTAAGAAACAGAGATGCAGATGCAGGAATTCAGATGAACATCTAAGGACACAACGAAGAAAGGTAGCTCCATGCACAACTCAGGATAAAAGTATAGCTATCAAATGTGGGCGACCTGAACGTAGCTTCCTAGATGAGGATGTTGATCTGTGGAAGAACGTGGCCAAGGAATGGGAACAGGTAAAGGTGAAAGAAATTACACTCTGATTATCAAAAAAATGGTGGACTAGAAGTCACAGTTACTAGTATTTTATTTAGGAAAGATATAGAGAAAGTCAGTAGGGCAGAACTATATACATATGATGCAGCAGAGGTCATCTGCATGAACGAGAAAAGAAGGAGAGAGTAGCTCTGAGTAAAAAATCCCTTTAGGAAGGAAAGGATTTTTAGAAGTTCTGCTGGGATAGATGGCTATAGACCTCTAAAGACACAAAGATCTTTAATAACAGAGACAAAACTACTGAGATTGTACCAGAATGGAAGAACGATCTTGATCAGTGACCATAGCATAAAAAATAGAAACATACTAATGACATTGGCAGATGTTATTCAGAAAGAATAGGTTGACCTAGAAGACTGGAGAAACAGAAGTAGAAATTAGGCAGTACAAAATAAGAGATCAAGAGTTCTGCTTTAAGCTGGGGCTAGTGATTCTGAATTAGGATGAGGAAAAAAAAATCTAAGCAGATTATTCTGTAACAAAGAATGCTTGTGAGAAAGACAAAATAAAATTCCAAGATATTTCAAGTAAAGTTTTTATTTGAGACAGCAAACACTTGTAACATCTCTTTTATAATACTAAGTGCAGAGGTCTGGTAGCCTTAGTTCACTAATTTAAGCTATAACACTTACAAGCAAGATACCAGAAGAATGAAGAAGCCAATTTTATGAATGGACTTCAAAAAGAGCATGCTCTTTTTACCTGGCAAAACACAGGGTCCAAAAGGATTTCTCTCTGTACCAGAAATGAAATGGGAGGGAGGCAAAACAGCTACTTACGCTTAAAGGAATGCCCAAAACCAAGTGGGATAAACTGGCCAGAAAAAAACTGAGACTGGAAGTTAGAAGTCAGTTCTTAATCCTGATGAAACAAGCTCCTAAAAACGTTTCCTGACACGGTTAGGGGGAAAAAAAAACTCAAGTAAAATCTATAGTCATTAACTTCTCCCCCAGTGCTGTGCCAAACTCATCTCTTGCCAACAACCACCTAGGAACAGATTTTCTGCTGGAACAACTGCATCTAATTTTGGCAAAGTAAGAAGGATGCCTATTTTGTTTTTCATCATAAAATTATCTGATGCAGACACTGACAAAGTAATAACATAGGCTTTTTACTTGGAACTTGACTAGTTTATAAACAAGGTTCTATGACATGAGTGCCTGCAATACTAAAAGATTGGACCTGATGACCCAGGAGGTACTCTCCAGACCTAGTGCTGAACTTAATATTAAAGATCTATTTCTATATCACCTAAGTGTGACTATGAAGTTGCAGATGGAAAAACAGTTTCCTGTGCAGAACCTACCAGTGCAGAAGCAAGTCATAAAGGAGGAGATGCAGCTCCAGTCAGTACCTTTTTATATTGGTGCACTGCTTCGAGGCATAGTATGATTCTAGAATATATATGGCACATTCCTCAACTGAAATATAAATCCTGAAAAGAACGTTTAGCTTGTTCCCAAACGCTCAGCAAAATCCAAGAACAGTAGATAAATTAATTTAATTATAGTTTTGATTCAGAATTAACATTTCCAAAATATCACTCCTTAAAATGTCTGTGATAAAAATGCTGCAATGTTGGGCTGCAGCTTGCAAAAGTCAGACTTACGTAAATTACAAAACTGAAAACATTTTTGGACTGAAAGATTCATACAAGGGAAAATTATAAGGTTAGAATGTTGTTAAATGTCTGCAGATAAAACAGTTTGAGTGAAATATTTGCTAGTAACGACAGGGATATAGTGGTATCCCTTCTGCTGTAGCACCTGAAACAAATCACGCAACATTTAAACAGCTAGAGCAGACAACAGCTCCAAGCTTTTGATTTTCACTGTTGATACAATTTTGCATCTTGCATCTTGTACTTGATTCATTGTCATTCCTGATTCATTGTCATCAGCATGAATTTCCTGTTTTCTTGAGAAGCAAATTTTTCAGGACAGACTATAGCTATCTCAATATTTACAGTGTCCAGAATAACGAGGACAGCGCATCTAGGTCCCACCAAAATGAATTATGGAACGTTATCTCTTGTATCCTTCCACAAAGAATTAAATGAAACAATGAAGAATGAAAAGTATATTAAGAATGTCATGTATTTTTTCTAGGCAGTACAGATAAGAAAACAAGAGATTCTCATCAACTTTTGCAAAGCTGATAGGGCTTAAACTGTCATTATGGCAATTTCATTGTTTCTAATTGTGGTTAGAAACAGATCACAGATCAATGCCATGAGCAGAATTGCTCTCCTTCATTAAGCCCTGATATATTTTGCACATAGACAATAGCATGATTTTATAATCAGGGTGGACAACCTGTGACAAACAATTTAATAGATACTATTTTCACAGTCTGTACAGTACCTATATATACACACAACATAGTCTGATCAGTTGGTGGTCCTTTACAGAGCCACCATAATCTCCTCGATGATCCCCACAGGCAGATATGGTAGTTTAAAAACAGGAATCAGCAGCAAGAGGGGCCAACATTTATCATTATCTTATCTCATTAAACTTACGCTCCAAACTCACATTCAATATAATATTCCATTTTCTCAAATTTGTCACAATATTCCTATTAAGCTTAGTAACTAAATGTTATTCTTCATTTTTAAGATTTCTAGGGTATGCATATTGATGAACACTTGGATTGAAAGGCAGTGAACTACAGCGTACTTACTTGCTGCCATTTACTAACTCAAATCCCTGAAGTCTCCTAGAATTTGTATTTTCCCTGGAATTTCAGACTGTCTTTATATCTTTCTAGTACATGGAATACCTGCTTAGAACTGCAGATTTGTTGTAACAGGAGCTAGAAAGAGCAACTGCTTTCTTCCTATTTCTGCCAGAATATCTCTAGTTTTGCAGTGTCCCAGCATACCCTTGATGCCCCACTTTACAGCAGTAAAATGAATTGTCTTGTGTGCTTTCACACCATTGGTCCCTGCAATGCCAAAGGATGCTTCGATCTTTTGAAATATACAAGTGTGCATTCTTTCACAAAGCAAAAAAAACTTGAATGCAATTTTAGTTTCACATTGTATTGCTGTTCCATCTGGGTCCCATAGCATTTTGATGCTATGGATGCATGCATTTTGATCCTCTGATGTCAACAGCACTTCAAAATTGAGTTTTGTTTAGGAATTTGGCAGCTTTTGTTCAACCTTTGAGATTATCAACAAAAGGTGATAACTGCAAAAGATCTGATACTTTTCCAAGCCTTTTTATTTATTGAATGAGAAACGATCTAGAGGCTATATCAGAAACTTTGTTTACACAGCTGTGGGAGCCCCTCAAAATGTTTTTAATTTAATTTTTAGGAGCACTTCATGAACAACTAACTAAACTGCCAAGAGTTTGAAAGGAATAGTAAACAGTATCACTGCGCTCATTACCCAGAACAGGAAAACTGAAGCTGTGAGGTTTTGGATTTGCCAAGTGACAGAAAAAGAAAGTCAGAGCTAGAATACACTTGTTTTTGAGTCAGAGCACTAAGTTTACAGCAATAAAACAGACTTCTTTTCTGACATAAACAGAGATCCAACTACCAACTATACAAATACAACCTCACAATGGGAGCATAAAGCCGCAGTGGTAACTTAATTTATATGAAGTCATGAATGTCCCTACCTGATGAGAGGATATTGTACTTGGGAGCAGACTTGAATGTTGATACATCTGGAGGGATGCTCCGAAGGGGAAGTGCATCGTATTGTATGGAGACAGAATGCATTTCCTGAAATGAATCCAGTTATATAATGAAAATGTACATTAAATAAATAAGAAGCTACAATGATTTATAGAATACCTTCCCATCATTGTCTTTTCCCTATGGTCTTAATGCTCAGTGGATAGCACAATTAAAATACACTAAGACAGGAAAAAAATACAGCTGATACCTGTGTTTTTGCAAAGCTGACAACCATTTTGTATACAAGTTTGACTATTAGTAAGAACGAACAGAAGCACCATTAAGAATCAAAATTAAAAAAAAAAAATCTATACGATCCTATATAAGCAAGCTCCAGGGAGATGGAAGGGAGCAGAAGACAATCTCCTGCAATCCAAGTTGCTGACATTGTGTACAGCGTTCCTCGTAGAACAGATGCTCTTCCACACTTTGAGGATACACTGAACACGGCCTTATTTCTGCTCACCCACCCTTTACTATCTCCATCTGTATGTTTATGCATACGTTGCAGCCTGACTCAACCAATGAACCTTATGCCTTCCCCGACTGCATAAGAAGGTAAACTGCAGAACAATTCCCTTTTACTAAATTAACCTCTCCCTCCCCCTTTTAAAGCTCCCAAGATCTTTAATGATGCTGATATACCAAGGAAGGACCATACGCAACATCTAAAATCTTTACCTCTTGTGGATTAAGATTCAGAGGTATATTAAGAGATGTCTGATCCGCGTGTGTTTTCTTTCCACTCTTGTGAATACACTGTGATTCATATAGCAACTGAAAGAGACATGTGTTGTATTAACTTTTGCCTATAAGAGAAGATGACAGGTCTGCACAAGCACGCGCTTAAACCAGATACAAGATTCGATAAACGGTGAAATAACTTTTGCTTGCTAAAAGAAATGCTTGCAACTCATTTTCTATGACTGCAACAAAAGCTACTTACCTTTGATCTCTTTAACAGAATTACTGCTTCCAGCATAGCTATTTCATCAAATGTTCTCAGGACTGGTTCAAGGTCTATTAAACATTCTAAATAAAGAAAGAATACTTTGCTGAACGATTTAATGTGGATATTAAGTTTTTACATTGCTAAAGCTTTGTTATATTTGAAAACGTACTTTCTTACGTTTACCAAATTATTTTCTCTGTTGATAGATATCAAAGTACCTATGCTGCTGAACAGAGGTTTTTTGCTCTCACCTGTTCAAAATGCAACAGTTTTTATAGTATTGAAACAAACCCTGTCCTGATCAAAAGCCTGGGTACCTCAGCGCTCTGTACCAAAAGAGATCCAGGACTGTGCCAGATTGCAAGTCCTGCATGCCTGGAACGGATAGATTGATGGGTTTGCTATATTCCAAGCACAAGACCTCAGAGTGGCTTCCTGTCTTTCTGCTCCAAAAGAGGTCTAAAGAAAATTAAATAAATGAAGAATCCACACAGTAAGATCCAAAACAGATGCTGTGAGGCAAGGCCAGAAAAGACAGTGATAGCCAAGGTACTGACCTATCACATCCAGTGAATTCAAATGATAGTGACTATGAACTCACCAAGAACAGCAGCATATCAGAGAAACTGAGACATCTGCTTACATAGAGAGGCACATGACAATTCAAAAAGCAAGTGACAGGTTGTGCTGTACTCCCTTATTCTCCAATGCTTAAAGGTTTACAGAACTAATATTTCAGTTTCGAGATGACTGTATTATAGAAACACCTCTTTGAAACTATGCTCAACTCTA